CGCAGGACGACCAAGGTGGAGGGCATGCTGGCCGTGACGCGCCTGGCCACGTTCCACGCGCCTGCGCTCCTCAAGGACCAGCACGCGCTGATCGCGGCCATCGTGGCGGAAGTGCGGAACCTGCGCTCCACAGTGGCGCGCGCCGCCATCTTCGCGTTGGGAGAACTGTTCGCGCGGTTGGGCGCGCAGGCGGAGCCCGAGATGGACGCCATGTTGGCCGCGCTGTTGGCCAAGAGCCAGGAGACCGCCGTGTTCATCCGCGAAGACGTCGAGCGCGCGATCCTTCAGGCGGTCGTGCATTTGCCGCAAACCCGAACCGCCATCGCGCTCATCAACGGCGGCGCCAAGTAAGTGCTGACCAGTAGGTGACCACCACTGACCGCTGACCCCTCGCCCGCAGCCACAGGAACGCGTCGGTGCGCCGGACGTGCGCGCAGTTCGTGTCGCAACTGGTAGAGCGCATGGGCGCGCAGAAGTGTCTGTTGGGCCCGCGCGACATCGCTGACCACGTGCTGCCGGCCGGCGCGCGCTTCGTGCAGGACTCGTCGCCGCACACGCGCTACTTCGGCAGGAAGATGTTCGCTGTGCTGATGGCGCACGTGTCGTTCGAGAAGCTGCTGCGCAAACACGTGACTCCCGGCACTTACCGCAACATCGTCGGCATCCTCGAGTCCGTCAAGCGCCGGGTGAGTGCCTGAGCCAACAATGCTGTTCTCACGCTCTCTCTCCTCTCTTCAGGGCATTGGCGACAAACCGCAGGATTTGTCGGAAAAGGAGTTTCAATAAAATCACAATTCTTCTCGAATTCGTTCTTTATTTCAAAACTTTTACAATTATTTATCGTTTCTTCTGAAGAATTCAATTCTCGAATTGAGTTGACATTAGAAACAGGGTTTCATTCAAACGGGAATTCAAGACATAATTATTGCGAAGGAAAGTGCAGTTCTAATGTCTGGACGAATGTTTTGAGGGTTTAATCCATACAAGTCTACAGTTTAAGTGTTTGGGAAAGTTGCTCATGGTCAATGGTTTGGCAATCTTTGAACGTTGAATGCTTTTGGCCAATATTTGAACAGAATTTCAAAGTTTCGCAGAATTCGCGAAAAAGTGTCGAAAAATGCTTTATTTCTCAATAAATGTTCTGTTTTTGACTACAATTGCTGTCAAATTGCGACAATAATTACATGTTTTGTTGATTCAATATTTGCGTTCATTTCAGGCAATAAACGACGATTAATGCAAATATATTACTCTTTATCAGCAAAACTATTCTATAGATAATGTTACGTTTCGCACTTTGGATCCGCGTTTCAACAATAATCACGATCGCAATAAAAATGCAATTTTTCGCATCCTTTGCGACAAGTATTGACTCAAACGTAAACCAGTGTCGCCACAAATATCGCCACAAATCCGGCATTTCCTGCAAAATGGGATAATTTCCTGGATTTACTGCAAAATGCTGACATTTGT